CCATCCTTTATCGTAACAATTTTCCAGTTCGAATCCGGGTTTACAAGACTCCAACGCATGCTCGCGGCCGAGTCCCGCAGGGCCATGCCGTGCTTTGTTTTTAGTAGTTTCCGATTCGAACCGTTTTCACGTCGCACTATTACGGCCAAACTTATGCACTTCACTAGTACAATTCAATATCTTTTCTAAAAGAAGTTTTTTTCATAATTATTATTCCTGGTCTCTTGTTTGCATTTCGACCCTATCAATCTCTCCTCTACTGTAGCTCCCTAAGCTGCATTCACTTCAACTCTGTTACATGCGTTCTCCTAAACCGTATTATGATCATGAATGCTCACAACATTTTAGCCTAGTTGGTCTAACTGCCAAATTACAAAATTGTTAACGACAAATTTAGCCCTGTGATATACAGGGATTTCATGTACACTTACCTATACACTGTCGTGAAGCAAGCACACAAAATTTTAGCTTTCTATCTTGACTAGCTCCCAAAATAGCTTTCATCCAAAAAATGATTTTAACTTGTAAGCATATGCTTATGCAGTGAAAATATTTAAGCTTATAGGCACGGCTTAAATAACTTTAATATTTAATATTTAAGCTTATTTAAGCCGTCCTATAAAGCTTAAATATTTTCACTGTATAAGCATGTATGGCATATGAAAGAAGTTTTATTATAAAGTTTTAATATTTAATATTTAAGCCTATTTAAGCTCATACGTATAACAAACACTCACGAGAAATTATTGTATAACAAACACTCTCGAGTATTTTGGCTTCCGAGCCGACGCAGTGCAAACAACTTCTTAATGTAGTGCAAACACGTCATATATAAGTTCGATTTGTCCGTAGACACGATGCAGTATGTATGAAGGCTGATTTTAAATTTTGTAGGTCAAACATGGACAAGGAACATCTTTGCAGGATTTCACTTTCCTAGCTTCTCTGGTTCCCGGGACCGCTTCCGCGCCAAAGCGTCTTTCATTTGTTCGCGTGCGAAAACTACGAGAATATGAACGTCTACTTTACGCCTAATAGCCATTTCAGAATGGCTATTAGGCGTAAAGTAGACGTTAAGCTGTCAAAATTCTAATTTCATAATCTTCGTAAATCTGAGAGGCTGAAATATGAGGAGACACACGACCCCGCCCCTCACGCATACACTCACACACACACACACACACCACACACACGCGCACGCACGCACACACACACACACACACACACCACACACCACACACACACCACACACACACACAATCTCTCCACAATACATGTTCTTGTATTGCAAACATGCAAAAAACGCGTAAAAATCAGTCTCTAGACGAACATGCATCTGTCGGCAAATCCCTGTCAAAGCAAACTGAGTTTTACAATAGCGTAAAATCTAACCTTTAGGTAGCCTCCTTCAGCCTGCAGTTGTGGAGCAGAAGACTCCTCCGGAGCAATGAACCCGTGTTGCGCAGCTGGATACTGAGCAATCAGCTGTGCTGCGACCGGTTCCTGCGAAGAAAGACTATGAGGGGCACTTTCAAGCATCGAAGTCGCATGCTCCGGATAGTACACTGTCGGTATGCGAAAATCAGAACTTTCGGTATGGACAATGCCGCTAGCGGAGGGGCCCGGTGCCTCCAAATAGGGATTGTGCTGAAGCAGAGAAGCTTCCGCTGCTGTTGGAAAATCTCTGTGGTGCAACCTCACTGCCCTTGATTTGTCGTATGGATAATCCTGATAGCGATACCGCGAAGTATAAGGATGCCCTGATAAGGAGCTATCCTGCGAGGCAGATCGCAGTCGGCTACTACGCGAACTTCTGTGCCCTCGTGACGACCTTGACTCCTCCGTGTGGTGCGAAGGCCAGTCTGCTGCACGACCTTCGGCTGTGAGCATCTGTTGTGCGGGAAGTTCGGGTACTCTGAACTCTTGAAACCCCGTTGTTGTCGGGATGTGCATTGCAGCACTCGATTCCTGAGCTGTTCCTACTTCCCCCTCGACTACACAGGAGCTGGCAATGGTACCACGGTCGTCACACACCGCATACAATTCTGGCTGTCCTTCGAAATTTTCCGCAATGTAAGACTGCTGAGACTCTAGTAGTTGTTGCTGCTGCTGCTGCACTGCTTGTTCTGTCGCCGAAAGGCGATGAGCAGGTGGTGCCAAGAACGCAACTGTGGCATCAGAAGACGCAACTGAGTACTGAGACGGACTGGCTGCGCCTGACCGTCTATGATAAGGAAGCTCTCGAAAAGTAAGATCGGTC